CAGTGGGGATGAATTTTCCGGCTAGGATTTGAATTGTTGCTCTAAATGAGGGGTTTTTGTCTCTCTCTCTAAGTAAAGCAAGCTCAGGTGTCTTTTTTTTTCTTTTTTCCCTTTATTTTTAACTTGCTGCATTTGCTGCTTTATAACTACTGCTAATAACTGCTGTTTATTTTTCTTTGAATTCCCTTTCTGCATCTTGTGCATATCACTTCCAGGGATTTTGGTCCAAAATGCCAGGGTCTCTGGCATGTGGTTATTTATTTTTAGAACCAAGAACAATGAAATACTTGCTTTGTGGAGAAACTTTCTACGAGGAATTACATGGACTTTGCAAACTGAGGTCATGAAAAATAATTTGTCGTTAGAATGCACTGTTAAAATAAATGAGTCTTTTTCATGCACCCACCCATTGCCTCCTTCCCCTGATGCCTGTGGGTTGTCTGCTCAGTCACTGTTCAGGAGGTTAATTGCCTGATCATTAAACATGATTGTTCACTTTGCAGAATGAACCATTGTAGGTTTATACAAGTACAAAAAACCTTCCTGGCAGCTCCAGTGTACTAACCACAGTGCACACGTTTGCCTGGTGCTGCACTTGCCTTTCCATTGTTTCGCAAAACACAGCAGTAACATTCCTTAGCCTGTTAGTTCCTTTGCATATATTCAGGGGAGCCCCTGTTGTTTATGTACAGCCAGGATGCTCATACTCTTATCTGTAACTCACATTGTTTACTGCACGGTGAAGGATGAAGGAGCAGAGACTTAGTATTTTCTACTGCAAAGTAGGTTGCCTGTTCACATTTTTAAAAAAAAAAAAAAAGGCGAGGGGGAAGGTAAGCAAGAGACAGCAGTACAATCCCACAAATTATTTTGGAGACTTATTTTAAGCCTTCAGGTATAAATCCTCATTGAGAATAGTGCAGCAATTGATAAGGGGAGAATTAAACAAGGCTTTGTCATTGGTAAAGTCTCTGATTCTCTTGTTGGTGTTCGAGAGAGATCTGGGAACAGGAGGAAGAGATATCAATTCTTTCTTGTTTGTTGCATGTTAAAAATCAGCCATTTCTAGCCCACTGGGAGAATGAGAAGCAAAGGGGTCTATTATAGCAATGACTCTAAGAATCATTGTAAGACTGGATTTGACAGCAGGTTGGTAACAATTATCTGATAAAGTCTGAACTGTGTAAAATCTGTTCATTACAAAGCCTCTATTTTAAAATGTAGATAGAATCTGTGATAGGGTAGTGTCTGAGGGTGTCTGAGAATAGTCTCCAAGGGGGTGGAATCTTTGTTCTGGTCTGAAATTTCCACAACATCCTGGCTTAAAAAGGCATTGCAATTGCAACTGTTATTTTATGTGTGGCTACTTTATCTCAGAGTGAGGATGAGGAAATAATTAAATATAAATAGGAGGAAATTAACAGTTATTGCAGGGGTGTTTTGTAAAGTGGAAATAAAGCAATGCTCAGAGCTACCTGCAGTTCTTTTCATATTCTGCATCTGTAAAGGTTCCCTAAACCTAATTCTAGTTAATGGTAATGACTTAATAGTGCAAATCATGTTAGGAGCAGGTTGAAGTCTCATATTTAGCCAGAGATGAAATGATACACATGGGCATTACAAAGTCCCTCTGGGCTAAGAAGCCAACTCATAGACAGAGTGATGGGCTAAATAAGCTGAGAAGCCTTTTCCCCTAAGGTCAGCTGTAAGTTAACAGAAGCAGAAGTAAAATATCCCAGAAGTCACTTCAAAGTACTCTTTTTCCCTTCTTTTAAAGACAACTTATGTTTAAGGAACTACCATATCCAAGTAGAGAAATAGTGTTTTATCTCTTCCCTCAGTAAAGGACTACTTCAATCCAGTAACTTACCCATTTAGAAAATCACGCTGGATCTCAGGATGCAAAACAGGAGCAATAATGAAAATATGTAGAAGAACAGTGGCACGTACTCTGGTCATCTTCTTTGAGCAGGCTGAAAACTGGAGGCTGATTCTCACTTTGGCTGAACTGGTATAGGTCTGGAATAATGCTGTTCATACCTTTGGAATTACATAAGTAATTGAAATACCAATTGATCCACTATGTGTTTATAACTCTGCAGGCAGTAGGGATTAACATGGTTATTGTACAAAGTTAAACTTGTATGACACAAGTGGTTGGCATCAAAGAGAAATTTTAGTAAGAACCTTGGAAGTTTGTGTTCAGAAAGAATGTGTTATGCGATATAACTTGAATATATCTATAGCAGCTTAATTAGGCTTGCAAACCATCCTTTCAAGGAAATTCTTGAATTATTAGACGTACTCTTTCAGTTGTCTGCATATGTCCATGTAATTCAGCACTTCACTATCGCGTTGCGTGCGCTTCGTCTCTGCACTAAACTGCAGAATATTATTTTGCAAATTTTGCTGACTTGCTGCCCAGATAATTCAGCTCTGGTAAGGTTGGGGTTTTAATGTATTTTTGGGCCTTACTTCATAACATTCAAGGTTGAGCCAGCAGTCAATAAGTAAACATGTCGTTGTGTGTGTGTCTGCATTGCAGAATCTTCGGCCTCAGGAAAGTCGGACCGTATTCAGTGGCTCTGTCAGTATCCCATCGATCACGAAATCCCGCACAGAACCAGGACGATCGATGAGCGCAAGCAGTGGGTTAGCAGCACGTAAGCAAACAGAACTGTGTTGCTTTGGGGTCTATGCACAAATATTTTAGGGAAAGGGCTACCTGCATTTGCTTCTATCCATACTGCCACTAGACAGGATTTTCAGAAGTGATGGCTGGCTGTATTCCTGTCGAGGGCAAGCACAGTATTTTCATCTTGCTTTCGAAGGAGCATATGAACAAGCAGCTAGAACTTTTGAGAGTCCCACGTTTGCAATTTGTCAAATTTTTAAAACTGACATTAGAATTAAAATTGCATTCTTGCCCTTGGGACTACTTTGCTGCTGCTTAAGTGTTTTAAATCAGTGGCAAGTTGCTCACAGGCTCCCTGGTTAGCTTTGTTGCTGAACTGTGTAGAGCTCTTGATGCCTGTCTTGCTGCTAGTGCAAAGAGAAAGCAATAGAAAACTGGCTGCTAGTCTGGAAGAGTTGCCTTGCGTTGGAAACACCTGTCCTAGTGCTGCCATGTGGCCTTTGTGTGCCAGAGTCGGCACAGTGACCCATGCTGAGACCAGGCAAGTGACCATGTGAAAACAGAGGCAAGGCTGGTGTCCCGACTTTTCTAGGTTTTTTTCCCTTCCTGTGGCACACACCGTGTTTGCTGCACATTGCCAGTGCTTGCAGAAGGCATGTCTGTCTGCTGTAGTCTGTAAAGAGACCACTGGAACTGGGCTGCCACCACAGCTGTTTCTACAACTGCTGTCTTTATGGGGAACATAGTGACTGTGTCTGTGCTGGGTAAAGTGTGCTAATGTTGACATGCTAAGGGAGGGACCAGAGAATCCCTAAGAAAAACTACAGCTGGCAGCAGACAAGATAAAAGCCCACATGAGCCGAGCATCTGGAACATGCTGGAGGAAAGCAGAACTGATCAGCGAAAAAGCTAACAAGTTTCTAGTACCTTGAGCAGGCATCTATAACACAGTTTAATTCCTCCATACATTTTAGGATCGTCTGCACAAAACGGCAGTGCTTTGCGGAGGGAATTCTCAGGAGGTAGCTATGGAGCAAAGCGTCAACCTATGGCATCGCCCTCAGATGGCTCTTTATCCTCTGGTGGCCTGGACCAAGGCAGCGATGCACCAACAAGGGACTATGAGCGAGAGGTGAGTGACAGGAGAAAGACAAGAAAATTTAAGTGTTGATAAAGATGAAGCTAAATTTGGTCATGGGTTTGGCTACAAGTTGGGAAGTCATTGACAATGAAAATTTGTATTTCCTGTATTTCAAGCTATCCTGACAATAGACTTTGGTCAAACTGTGTCAACTCTGGTCCTGGTATTTAAGATGCAGAAAACTCTCTCTGCACTCTTTACCTGGAGATATGTGGGTAGCAAGACTCCCAAAAATACTGGCCCAGTAGAATAACGGCTTGCTAATGACCTATCACAGCTTGAAGCCATATTCCTTCTGCCCTTTATTTGCAAAGACTCTTAAGCTATCTTAGCAACCATTTCACAGGAAACATTTTGTACTCAGAGTGCCTGAAGTTAACAAGGTAATTGAAGAATTATCATATTATAATATCATTTGGAGCAGAAACTGGATTTAATAAGTTTATTGCAGAACAAGACTATCATTATGATAGAACTGCAGTCCTGCCCAGTGCTAAATTCAGTCCCTCCAACCAAGATCGTTTTACATTGGAGGATTCAATCTGAACTTGGCCAGCAAAACTTTCTCAGCCCATTTTCTTACCAAGGAGTGAGAAAATTAGAGATCACACAGGCTTTTCATAGTACTGAATATATCCTTTCCATTGAAGCTGGAAGGCAGCTGTCAACCCAAATTCAAGCTCAGGCATAGTTGCACTCTACTGTACCTTGGAAGATGCAACTGGAGTAACTTGATTAGGATGCTTTGAAATAACATCCTGGGAGTGACATAGAAGAGGTAGCTGTGATGAAGCCCGTACCATAAAGATTCCTCAGTTTAGCACAGGAGCATCTCAGATCATAATCTGTGAAAAGGCAGGAGCCATCATAACTTCACAGGCCACCTGAAGTTGCACACTTTGCTGACCAAGAGGCCCTTGGCAACATGCAGATTGCAAGAATCCCACAGGTGCTGTGTCCTTTTGTCAACGTCAGTTAATGCCTGCTTAAAGCTGAGTGATCTGACCGCTTGCTTTTAAGTCTCCCCAGACCAGGAAATTCTGAGAAAAAAAAACTCCTCAGTATTTTTTGAGACAAGCAAAATACATGGAGGCTTTTGAATCCTCTCACCTGTTGCTCAGACACCCTCAGTCACTCTTAAACTTGCTATCCTGTTACTTACTGGTGTTCTTCTGTGTCTTTGGGCTGCAGGACTCTGACTCTCCGAGACACTCTACTGCATCGAACAGCTCCAACCTCAGCAGCCCTCCCAGCCCGGTTTCTCCTCACAAGACCAAGAGCCTCTCCCTGGAGAGCTCTGACCACGTGAGTTGGGACTCATGAACTGCTTCAGCATTCAGATTTGACATCACAGCAGCTTGCTGTCCCCATGGCTGTCCCCTTCACTTGTTCCAGTTCACACCTTCATCATCCTAACCCTCCCCATTCCCTGCCTGAAAGTGATCTGGGAGTGGGGTGCAAAGGAAGGTAAAAGCTGGTCGTCTTCAGCACCGTTCAACACTGCCTCACCCTCCCTTCCCCAGATTTGACAGCAGCAAATGAGCAAAGCTAGGGTGTTGGTAAATACCAGATGCTGTAGATTTGTATTAGTATTGGTTTCATTTTTGTGGTTACAGCTGCTTCATTTTTAAAGATGTGTTTTTCCCACCTCCCCTTCCACTTCCCAAAACGTAGCCTGAGTAGACCAGACCAGTATCAACAAGAGAAAAGTTCAGAGGGATTTTGTTTTCATACAATAGCTCATTGTACTGTACAAAAGTAGCACAGAGACCCCTTCCCCTGCACGGGGAACGATCAGTATGTCAGAGGCACATAAAAGCTTTCAGCCACCACGTTTGAATGTCAATCTGATTGTCGCCAGCAAATCCTTATTGATGAAAATGATGCATATTTTACTACAGTACAGAGTTTAAATAAATACACAGATGTTAGAGTAAAATACGTATGTATATATTCAAAGAAAAAAAGCATTGTGTATGCAGCAGAAGATGGATGCTTATTTAAGAGAGCCTTTAATTTAAGATTTGTGTTGTCCCTGTTTTCATGCTCGGTAATATACAGACTTGGAGGCCTGGCCTGAAGCCTTTCGCGGGACAGATACTCCTTTTGCGTAGCACTCGCTGCACTGCTGGGAGAGGTCCCTGCAGTGCTTTCACAGCATTTCTTTACTTCTGGCAGTAGCATAACTGAAGCTATAATTCCTACTTTCATGTTAATCCCCATCCTTTGCAAAAATGGTAATTGGAAAGCAATCCCCCACCCCGACAACCAAGGGCGCCAGCCAGCCCGGTGGCTGCCCTGGTTTCTTGTGTGCTAGCTGTGCAGCTGAGGAACCTGACGGCATGCTACAGGAGAGGTCCTTAGGGCAG